TTAACATACTAGAAGAAAGGACCCTATCATAGTAGTAGTTCTTTTATCAATCATAAACTCCAGAATTCCTCAAGAACCAAGTTGAATGTTAACTGAAGTTACTAATTAGTTTTTGATCATGCATACACTTGCGTACATTTGCATATGGTAGAATTTTAGGCCACAATTGCTGTACTGTTGCATTGTGATGAGAAAAAAGGTGTAGTGAGAGAAAGTCAAGGCTTTTATGAATGATAAACAGATGAACTGAATGATGAACAGAAGAACTAGTGAAGCATCATCAGGGAGCATTTTACATGAAATGAGAAAACTGAATGTTAGTGAGCTTTGCTCTTGATTTTTGTAGGTTGATGGATTTTTTGCTATAGAAAACTAGATTAAATACTAAGAGGTTTCAGTGTATCGAATGTTTATAGTTTTAATATGTAAACTTCTCAAATCTTTTATTTCATATTCTGAAAATAGAATGGACAGGGCTGCATTAGGTCCTGTTTCCTACTCATTTGTTTGTTCATTCATTCATTCATTTATGAAACATTTGTTGAGCATCTACTGTATGCCAGGCACTGTGCCCTGCATTCTGGTCAATGGGATACCAGTAATTAAATCATTAACTTGAAGGTCAGGCCTCATGTTCACAAGTTGCTAAGGTGTAATCATAAGGTATGAAAAAATGGCCAATGTTGAGGAAGGAGGGAGCATGGTTTTCAACAAAACAACATCAACAAAAGTGAGAATATTTTGGGCCAGCCCCGGTGGCCTAGTGGTTAAGTTCAGCGTGCTCTGCTTCAGCAGCCTGGGTTCAGTTCCCAGGCGCTGACCTACACCACTCATCAGTGGCCATACCGTGGTGGCAGCCCACATACAAAATGGAGGAAGATTGGCAACAGTTGTTTTAGCTCAGGGCAAATCTTCCTCAGCAAACAATAAAAAGAATATTTCCTAAACATGACATACTACTTTTGGTAGTCTCATTTCTTTCATGTTTGATCTGCCATTCTTCAGACTCTTAGAGGCCAATGATGATCTGCATGTCTGCATTACAAATATTTGAGTCTTTTTGTCCTTCTGATTTCGGTGCCAGAATGGATAAATGTTGGTTTGCTGAGCTTTTGTCTAGCCATTGAGCACTATAGCTTTGAACCAAACTGTTAGAAGAAAGCTCTCTCTTTTCCCCCCTTAATTTTAGTTTGTATTTGCAGTTTATAAGGGCAGAAGTCTCTTTTTGGTTATGAGGGAAAGGTCCTTAAATAACGAACTACATTTACTCTGAGGTTTGCTTTACTGTTTCCTGTGGTTGACTCTAAATCAGGTGTCTCAACAGTGGCACCAATAACATTTTAGAGTGGATGATTCTTTGTTGTGGGGGGCTGTCCTGTGCATTGTAGGATTTAGCAGCATCCCTGGTCTCTGCCCCCTGGATGCAAGTAGCTCACCCACCGCCCTAGTTGTGACAACCAAAAATGTCCATGGACATTGTCAAATGTCCTTTGGGGGACAGAATCACTCCTAGTTGAGAGCCACTGCTCTAAATTCTTCAAGCAGACTCACTGACTACAGTTGTTTGTGAGCCAGCCACAGATAAGCTGCTGCAGTACTTGATGTTGTGTTTCTCTGAATCCTTCAAAGCTTTCTTTTATTCGAATGGCTATTGCTTCAGTTCTCCAATCCTGAAAATCTTCCTGTCATCCCACCCAGAGAAGTTGTGCCAGGATGAGCAGAGGTAGTACCCGCACTATATTCCTGGAATCCATAGTAGTTGTTCTTAATGGACTTGCTTCTTAATGGACTTTAATAAACTTCCTCAAAAAACCAGGCGTGAGGGGCCGGCCCGGTGGCGCAAGTGGTTAAGTGCGCGCACTCTGCTGCTGTGGCCCAGGGTTCGCCGGTTTGGATCCTGGGCGTGCACCGACGCACCGCTTGGCAAGCCATGCTATGGCGGCGTCCCATATAAAGTAGAGGAAGATGGGCATGGATGTTAGCCCGGGGCCAGTCTTCCTCAGTAAAAAGAGGAGGATTGGCAGATGTTAGCTCAGGGCTGATCTTCCTCACACACACACACACAAAAACAAAACCGAGGCGTGAAATCTAGGCCAAAGCACGTTTGATATTAGACCTTCAGCTCTAAGTCTTCCAAAGGACAAGCAGGTCCTTTTTTTTTTTTTTTTTTTTTTTTTGATGTTTTAATGGTTTCTAACATTGTGAAATTTTGGGTTGTACATTTTTGTTTGTCCATCACCATATATAAAGCAGGTCCTTTTGATTTGATTTACTTTGTAAATTGTACAAAAAGTTTTGGATAAGCTCTAGGTATCAAATCATGATCATTTTAGTTTTTGTCGTTTCTTATTTTTAGATTAAGTGTTAGGCTGTTTGTAGGATTAAATTTAGCTGATAAACAACTTCAGTTTTTGCACACAACATGGTGCTGTGTTGATTTAGCAGAGAGGTAGCTTACTTACGTTCACACCTCTAGTAAGTGCTGGAATTGGAATTTGAACTCAAGCTTTTCTGACTGACTACAGATCCATGCTTTTTCCTCTGTACCAGTGCCTCTCAGAATTTATTGTGCATAGGAATCACCTGGGGATCTTGTGAAAATGCAAGTTCTGACTTGGTAGATTGGGGGTAGGCCTGCAGTTCTGCATCTCTAAGGGAGTCCCTGGTGATGCCTGGGTTGCTGGTCTTTGGATCACACTTTTGAGTATTAAAGCTCTGTGCTATGATCCTGGATTACTAATTTTGCTATAGATAATCCTCCTGGTGATTAACCCACAAAATTGTTCGCCTACAATTGAATATTCAAGAGTTGGATTTTTCTATTAATTTTTCTTCATTATAAGCTCTGTGGATTCACTACTAGATTGTAAGCTGTGTGGATTCACTGCTAGAGTTGAGGGGCAGCTTTGTTCATCTGAACTGGCAGAATTGCAGTTCTGTATGAAGTGAATGCTAGGCTTGTTAGGACAGTAAAATGAATGTCCGAGGGTAGTTTGTTGGCGGCGTTTAAGTGAACAGCTCCTATATTCCATTGATTCTAAGGTGGACATTATTTTACATTTTAACATCTCTGAAATTGGGTGCATCTTAAAATAGATGGCATTTTACCACTGCCGAGGTTGGCACTTGGCTCTGTGACTTCTGGCCACCCTCCTACTGCGTGGGGATGGAGCCCAGCAGCTACTGTGGTGAGTACTTGGCCATCTCCCCTTCCTTGCTCCTCTCTTTTCCCTGACCCAGGCCTCAGTCCTTTTGTTCTGTCACTGCTGAATCTGGTGTTGGGAGACCTAGGCTACAAGCTCAGGGATTTTTGTACTGGTCAAATGTGCTGCAGGGCAAGATGGTTGTCTATGTGTGTTGCTTGGCTGACGTCTGTTCTCTGTAGTAGCAAATCTGTTACAGATTCTTCCTTTTCTTGACTTGGGAGGAACTCCTCTGGGGCTGAGGCGAAGTCTTAAAAAGCTCTTTAATAAAGTAAACATTCTAAGTGATAAACTATTTCATGTGCTTTCTTATTTGGCAGCATTTTTCTTTCTTGATGGTACACAGATTAAGAATGCATTTTCTATGGGGCTTTGGTTTGATTAGATTTATCAGTTTGATGTAAGTTTAGCAGAAAAAGACTGATTTGGAGTTAGAAGGTACGAATTAGAGTCTAGCTCTGCCACTTGCCAGTTGTCCATGTGTAAAGTGCGAGTCAGACCATATGATCTCTAAGGCCCTTCTAACTCTGAACTCATTGGATTCTTAGTGTGCTAGAATGAATTAATTGAAGTATAAGGATTCTGCTTTAAGAACATAGAAGAAGTGATCAATTTTGACAAGGAGGGGAGTGATAGGAGGCACTGAGCTGAGTCTCCAGGGGGAGAATAATTTTGGTAGAAGATTAGGAGACAGAATATTTTCAGCTCAAGAGACAGTCTCCCTGAGGTCATGGGAGTGAAACCATTCATAAACTTAGATCCTGGATATAATTGCATTCATCATGCTAGGTGGAGGTTATCCTCTGTACAAGTAAAACGTTCTGTCGAAAGTAAGATGACCCTTCCTAAAAAGATGATTCTAAAAAGATAATTTCTCTATAAAAGTTCCTTTGTTTCTGGTTTTTGAGAATAAAATGATGGCTCCTCATTAGTTGGATTAATTAGATATAGATACCATAAAAATAAAATGAGCTATCAAAGTACTGAGTATGGTCATCCTTGTTTATCGAGCATCAGAGGGCAAGGTGACTAACAAAGCTACTACCTACATTGTAGTAAACTATGCTTATCTGAGATATGGTTTGAATAAATGTTTTTTTATTATAATGTAGTTCTGTTTGGGCACTAATCTTTGTTTTATGAAGAACTATTGCTTTGCACATATGGGTCACTTTGGATAGAGATTCTTTGAATTGGGATTTGCTGTGGACACAGAAGCTGATAGTTTTACTGAATTAGGTACACTTTGAAAGAAAAAGCTTTCATATGTGTAGTCAGTGCTGCAGGTAGGAATTGCAAAAGTGAAATAGTTCTCCTCAACTGGATGGGATACCTTTTTTTTTAATACCAAAAAAAGGCCTTAAAATTGGGAGTCAGAAATGACATAGACTCAAGGGATCTTTGAGTTCGGTTTTAACGTTTATGAGCTGATTGGGGGGTTCCAGAGCTGGGAATCATACTCTCAGTTCTACTCTGCCACCTTGTGTTCTCTTGGAAAGTTATTTTTAATTTCCTTAGACTCTGTTTATCACATATGTAAAATAATCCTCAGCTTTAGCTTATTTCACAAGAAAATTAGTTAGCAAATAAATAAAGCTTAAAATGTGAAATCCCTATATATTTGCTATAAGGCAGTTTTTATTCCTGAAAGTCATATGCTAGATTTTACAAGTGGTAGGTAATCAGGCACAATTATTCAGTAAATTTAGCTACAGTCTCCTTTGACCTAAAGGTACTTTTGGTTTTGCGTTCTATAATGCAGCACTGATCATTACTGTTTTTCTTTCCTCCTTACAGGTGGTCCGTACTGAAAAGAACAGTTTGAACAATCGATTCTTGCCCTGGAATGAAATTGAGACAGAGGCCATCCTGTCTATTGATGATGATGCTCATCTCCGCCATGATGAAATCATGTTTGGGTTTCGGTGAGGAGCTGATTTTCAATCAAGAAACACTTTAGTTTGCAAATGACAGAAAACCAACTCAAACCTGGATTAGGCAGCAAAATTAATTTCTTGGCTGATAGTAACTGAGAAATCCTGAGAGGAAGTGAGGGCTAACTTAAGACATAGCTGGATCCAGGGTCTTAATTGGAGGAGAACTCCATTTCTCTTCATCTCTAGGTTCTGCTTTCCTCTGTGTTGCCTTTGCTCTCATATAGGCTCTTCCTCTGAGGCCAAGGAGATGGCATTCTGTGATTGGCTAGACAGAGGTTACCTGCCCCTGGAGCCTGCAAGTAGATCATCCTCCAACTGCAAGCTTGGACTGAGAGTGGAGACAAGGGGTAGTTTTCTAAAGGAAACTTGAAGTTTTTCTGTTTAGAGGAATGGGGAATAACTCCCAGGCAATTAGAGGCAAAATGTTGCCGTGTGTTGGGGCAGTGGAACAATGCCAGAATCCTGGGGCCTGAAAGATTTGGGGAAAGAAGATGGTGTTGGAAGCAAAGATCCAAGAGGAGAAAGAGGGCAAAGAGCAGGAGATGGTTATGATGATGATAATACATGACATTTGTTGAACCCATACTGTGCGCCAGACACTAGCTGAGTACTTCGTCTGGTTTATCATTAATCCTTCTGAAACTTGTTGACGTCAGTTGTATATAGGAGTAAATTGAGATCCAAGAGAACAAAACCATGAAGCTAGAAAGTTAGTGGCAGAGCTGCAATTCAAATGCAGGTTTGCCTGGTCCGGAACTTCCACTCAACCACTAAACTGTACTCTTTTGAATCTTAGTAGTTCTTAGTGGAGCTTAAATATCTAAGTTGAGGGAACATTACAGGTAAGAGAATGGAGTAGATCTGGGCTACTCAAAGTGTGTGATGGACTGGTATGCTGGCTCATGGGCAGTTTGTCTGTCCACAGTGAGGTGAGTACAAGAATTGAGGGTAAGCATTTAGGAACTTTTAAAGCAATTTGACATTTACCGTGACATCCAATTGTGTGATCATTTTTCTTGCAATTCATTTTTGGGTAACATTTACTGAATATAATTCAAACATCATACAGTTCACTCATTTAAGTGGTATACTTCAGCCATGTTCAATGCTTTTTAGCGTATTTATAGAGTTGTGCAACCATCACTACAATCTATTTTAGAAACCTTCATTACCACCGAAGGAAACCCTGTACCCATTAGCAGTCATTCCCCATTTCCCCCAACCTCTCTCAGCTCTAGTCAATCATTAATCTACTTTGTGTCTCTATAAATTTGCCTATTGTGGACATTTTATATAAAATTCCTATATGTGCCCTTTTGTAACTGGCTTCTTTCACTTAACACAGTGTTTTCAGGGTTCGTCCATCTTGTGGTATGTGTCAGTACTTCATTTTGTGTGGATATACACATTTGGTTTATCCATTGATGGACATTTGGGTCATTTCTACTTCTTGGCTGTTGTGAATAATGCTGCTATGAGCATTCATGTACAAGGTTTTGTATGAACATTTTCTTTCTCTTGGATATATACCTTGGAGTGGAATTGCTGGATCATATGGTAACTCTTTGTTTAACATTTTGAGAAACAGCTAGACTGTTTTCCAAAGTGGCTGCAGCATTTTATATTGCCACCAGCAATATCTAAGCGTTCCAATTTCTCCCCATCCTGTCAACACTTGTTATTCCATTTTTTATTTATAGCCATCCTACTGTGTGTGCATGTTATTTCAATATAGTTTTGATTTGCATTTTCCTAATGACTAATGATGTCAATTTTCATGTACTTAGTGGTCATTTGTATATCTTCTTTGGAGAAATGTCTATTTAAGTCCTTTGCCCTTTGTTGTTTGGGTTATTTGTCTTTTTATTATTGAGTTCTAAGAGTTCTTTATATATTCTAGATAAAAGTCCCTTATCAGAGATTTGATTTGGAAATATTTTCTCCCATTCTGTGGGTTGTCTTTTCACTTTCTTGATGGTATCCTTTGAAGCACAAAAGTTTTTCATTTTGATGAAGACCAATTATATATATTTTCTTTGGTTGCTTGTGCTTTTGGTGTCATATTTAGGAAACTGTGCAATTCATTTTTATTTTATTTTACAAGAAGATTAATCCACAATAAATTGGGGGAAAATTAGTTCTTCACCACAGATAGTTTGAGAAGCACTGGAATAGATTTCCTTAGAGATCTTATTCAAATTAAATATGGATCCAGGATGGAGAACTCTTTTTCTCTGTGCTTTTTTCCATTCACTGAAAGCCTGATGTGTCCTACCTAGCTTTCAGGCTTTCTTTGGTTTATTTAGGTTGATAAGCACAGACGCTCAGATGAAAGGACCAGCAGCTTTATTGCTGTCTGTGTCTTAAATCCATCTATCAAGAGTGATGTGATACATTTCTGACAAATTAGAACATCTGTTCTTCCTTTCCTCCACCCACCCTTTGACCTCCTCCTACTATATTATTGAGATAAGAGTCTGTTGTTAGCTGTGATAAGAATCCTGCTGAACTGGAGTGTGTTCCTTTTTTGTACTATGCTAATAAATAGCCAGCTCCCTCTATTGGTTTTTATGAAAGGAAGAAAGCCACGTCATGATTCCAGAAATGGTCTTTTGCTATTACAGTTGTCATTGGTGCTGGTTGCCAGGGGCCTGGGGCGGGAGGCAGTGTATTTCTGATACAGCATGATGCAGTTTAGAGCATGCTAAAGGACTGGGAGCTGTGACCAGAGTCATGGGATGTTAACAGGAGAATTGCCAATCACCTCTAGATCCCAAGGATGATTTAGATAAGGGGTCCTGCTTTAATGAGTTGGAAGCTTATTAAGATAGTTGGCATTTGCTATCTTCTGTGGCTCTTGATTTAGGAAGACTTTTGACCTTTTCCATTTGTCAACAGATTTCCAAGTGGTGCGAGAATAATGGGAAGCCTTTTAATGTCTCTCTTAACAATCATTGAAAATTTGAGGTTTAGCTTCTGGTTATGGAACTGGTGCATTATCTCTGGCTGCACATCCTAACCTTTTATTACCCTCATTTCTCATTTGTTTGGGCATCCTTCGCTCTGAAAGGTTTCTCTAAATCTCCCCAATTTGCTTATTTCCCCAAATTACCTGAGTGGGAGTGAAACAGACTTAGTTTCAAAAGGAAAGGGCAAGTGTAACAAGATTTCCTCTCTGTGGCAAAAGATAATAATGGATCTTGGCTAACTTCAGCTTATGTAGCAAAGATGCAGATATGTTCTTAAGGGGCAGATAAAACAAAGAGGACTTAAGAGAATTGAAAACATATGTCCATACGGAAAGCAGTACCTGAATGTTCATAGCAGCATTGTCGATGTAATAGTCAACAAGTATAAAAAACACAAAAGGATAAGTATTATATGATTCTGTTTAATGAGGCATCTAGAGTATCAAATTCATAGTGACAGAAAGTAGAGTGGTGGTTGCCAGGGGCTGGAGGAAGGCAGGAATGGAGAGTTAGTGTTTAATGGGTACAGAGTTTCAGTTTGGGAAGATGAAAACATTCTGGAGCTGAAGATGGATGGTGATGATGGTTGCACAACAATGTGAATGTACTTAATGTCACTAAACTGTACACTTAAAAATAGTTAAAATTGTAAAATTTGTTACATATATTTTGCCACACAAAAATGTCAGTTGTCCAAAAAACACAAGAGTGTAAACAACCCAAACGTCCATTAACTGATGAATGGATAGACAAAATGTGATATATCTATACAATGGAATATTATTTGGCAGTAAAAGGAAGTGAAGTACTGATACATGCTACAACATGGGTGGACCTTGAAAACAGGCCGAGTGAAAGAAGCTGGTCACAAAATCCACATGTTGTATGATTCTGTTTATATGAAATGTCCACAATAGGCAAATCCATGCAGATAGAAAGTAGATTAGTGGTTGCCATAGGCTGGGGAGAGGGGGAAATGGGGAGTGATTATTAATGGTTATGGGGTTTCTTTTGGAGGTGATGAAAATATTCTGAAATTAGATAGTGGTAATGGTTGCACAGCTCTGTGAATATACTAAAACTCAATGAGTTGTACACTTTTAAGTGAGTGAATTTTATGGTATGTGATTTATATCTCAAATTTTATTTTAAAAAAAGAAAAGGTGATAGTGTAAGCTTAAGAGGAGGTATGGGATTGTGGGCTGGAAGGTAGGTTTCTCTTCCTGTATGCAAATTATGTCTGTTATGTTGGACCCAGAACTTTAGAATCCCACAACTGGATCTGATGTTGATCTGTTTCTCTACACTTCAAGGCTCTGCTTTATGAGTTTTCTTTTTCAAAGGGAGCTAACAAAAACCTTTTTCTTTTACCGTGATTTGGCATAGGTTCCTTAATATTTTGGAGAGGAGGAAAAGGCTTACATACTATTGTAATGTAAGAAACATGGGATTTGGAAAAGAACTCTTGTTTTAGATAGGAGGCAAAATGTCACTTTATGTTTTATGTTCTTTGATTATTAGTTGATTTTACACTTTATTTTCCTATTGCATTTCAAATCCTTTGGTTCTTAATGAACCAGGGGGGAAAACATGATGGTATAACCAACAAGGAAAAGAATGTCTCTTTGTGTGATGAAGTCCATATTACTTTAATTTACTGTAATATCTTAAATATTTACTGATCTTTATTCAAAACCATTTTGCCAAAGTTTTGAAGATCAGAAAATCAGTTTAAATTAAACATTAATAGTAACATGACCTTTTGCTTTCATTCAGGTAAGTCATTAAAAATTGTTGTGAGTCACATAGACTTACATAAAAATATGTCAACTTTATTTAAAATATGTGGTATTTGGGCTGTCAATAGTTTATTTTTTTACTTAACTGACTATAGTTATATGGAAATGATGTGCCAAAGTTCATTCCATGAGAATGTTTAACTGACGCACTCATTTCAGAGGTAATAGTATTTAAATTTGAAATGTTAACAGAAGAATATTACTTATGATTCAAATTCTTCATAGGAATAGTGTCTTGATTTCATTATTTTTCAATTTCTCTTTAGTTGTTTGGCAAAGTCGAATTTATCTGGTGAATTTTCTTTGTTTTTAAGTTTGAGCTATAATATTACCTTTGGAACTTTTTTCCTAACATAATGTGTAGGTAATTAGAACATTAACACATTTAAAGAATAATTCATTAAAGGTAAAGTATGCCAAAGCATGATCTATAATATGGTACATAGATTAAAAATATTTACTTCAGCATAAGTTTGAATATAATGTTAAGGAACTGATTATGTGCAACACTTTTATATGTATATTGGTAGCATTATTTATAATCGATATTTTTAAATGCTTAACTTTCAAATACACATTGAGACTATGCTATCTAAAACTTTTTTTTTTTTAATTTTTTTTATTTTGTTTATTTATTTTTCCCCCAAAGCCCCAGTAGCCGGTTGTAGGTCATAGCTGCACATCCTTCTAGTTGCTGTATGTGGGACGCGGCCTCAGCATGGCCGGAGAAGCAGTGCATCGGTGCGCGCCCGGGATCCGAACCCGGGCCGCCAGTAGTGGAGCGTGCGCACCTAACCGCTAAGCCACGGGGCCGGCCCTAAAACTCTTGATGCATCGTCCCAGGAATTTATTAAAGCCTTTATTTAAGTTGTGTTCATCTCATACCAGTGCTTCCACATTGATTTTTTTTCCTTATGGTTTAATAGATGTTTAACACCCATCAACCAGTGGATCATCTCTTGGTTGACAGCCTTGAACAAATTAGAAATACTACCTTTTGATATCATATAGCAAATGAGACTCTGCCTTATTAAGAACTGTCTACATTATATTGACTTAAATCAGCAAGATCAGATAATTGAAATATTCACTTTTCCGTTCTTTCTTCTGCTAATATTTCAGGACTAGTAGGAGCAATAGACGTTTGAAGAGATAGTATTTTTAGGAGTATTGATATAACATTTGGATATGCCGATGGTATTTATTATCAATTCTTACATCCTATAAATGTCAAAATATATTATGAAAACATATTACACCTTTTTAGGTTAGTAATTTGGAGTCAGTTTTAGGAGATAAATTAGGATAGAGTTAGGGATTTGGGTAGGAAGTATCAGAAAGCTCATCTAGAAGGCTATGTTGTGATAGCAGTTGTGGTTTCTCATCTATTGGACTAGATTAGTTACTTTCAAACTTAATAGGAGAGGAACTCTTTTGACATGAAATCTTATGTGTTTTACAAATTGAAGTTCCGTGTAAGTGATGAGGGAGTTTCTCAGGCAGTCTAAATCTCCCATTTGGGGGCGAGGTGGGGTGGGGAAGTGAAGGTTCATTGTTTATGGGACACCCGAATTACTTCTACAGGGCTGTAGGGTTCTGTGGAGCATAAGTGCTGTCAGCTCTACGATTTTAGCCTGTGAAGCTGGGGAACTGATTTTATTTGTTCTACCTTCCCTGTAAATTTGGGGATGATATAAAAGTTTATCCTGGAAACATATTGAATTCTCAGTTCGTTTCTTGCATTTATGAAATCTTTCATTTGTATATGGTAGACCAATTCTTTTCATGGTGCAGGTTTCTCCCTCATGTCTCTTCAAATCAGGAGTTAAGACTGTTGTACCTTACTCCAGGTAACAGTCTTCTGTGGTTAGACCAGTGGTCTCTAACCTTTTTTATGGTGTACCCTCTCAGTAAAAGAAAAGTTAAGTATGCAATATACATATATTATTTCCAAGTCCTACTGTACTAGTATATCATGCTCATTAAAAACAAAACTTCTTTAAAGAAATTAAATAAGATTAAAAATAAATTGAAATAGAAATTGATATCTTCCTCCTGCTGCTTAGCAGATTGCTGTACATACCCCACTTCGGAGACCCCTGACTTAGCTCCTTTGCATGTTATTCCAGCTTGTTCTGTCTGTAAGGGCTGGAGAGATGCTGGCTGCCAGAAGTTGGAGGAGCAATAAGCAGGTTCTTATTAAGGGAGCTATGTGTGACACCATTTATTTGTTTTTATCCTGTTTGGATTGTGATGGATTTTGTTATTTAAAATAAAAAAAAAGGAAAAAGGAAGTAACAGCCCAAGGGCCAGAGCCTGCAAGCTAGAGGCAATAATTTTATTTTATTTTTTATTGTAACATTGGTTTAATAGAGGCAATAATTTTAAACATTTCTGATAATCTTAGAGCTTTGTACTCAGGTGTGTGCATATACTTGTGTTTTTGAGGGTGTGGAGAGAAGCACGGGACCGCATTGTGGGTTTCCCTGGCCGTTACCATGCGTGGGACATCCCTCATCAGTCTTGGCTCTACAACTCCAACTACTCCTGTGAGCTGTCCATGGTGCTGACAGGTGCTGCCTTCTTTCACAAGGTAAGAAAAAGCTTGGTAAGAATGGCCTGAACTTGGTAAGTGTAAGCCTTTGTGTGGTAGTGAAATGCTGCCCTCAAGTTAGCTCTCCTAATGCTTTTTATACGTCCCCTCTATGCTAGAAGTAAGTTATTTCTGTTTTTAAAGATAGTAATCATGATGCTTAGAGAAACTCTGGAGTAAAAAGTCAAGATGAGAAGGCTGACTGTACAATTGCACCTAGGCCATTACGAAAATCAATTCATCTTTTTGGACATTGGCTTTCCCTCTGTAAAACTGAGAGCACTGGGCTAAGATATTGTCCAGTTTCAACGTTGCCATCCCACACGCGGTCTGGCCAACAGAAGGCTGAACCTGGCACTCTTCTGACTCAGGCTAACCACTACTATCCCAAGCCCCACCACGAGCCTCTGCCTATTGTGGCTCTTCAAGTTCTGTTTGATTCCTTAGAGCTTGTCACTTTCACCATGCCTCACATCTCAATTTTCATTCCATATCCAAAATGCAAACCCCTCCAGTTGTTACTCCTCTCCTGTACTGTTATTGCCAAACTGTTCTGTTTTTTTGCTTCTGACTCATCTTCCCTCTGTATCTTGTCTGTTCAATAAAGTAGCACCTGGCCACATGCGGCTATTGAGCACTTGAAATATGACTGGTCAGTACTGAGCTGTACTGTAAGTGTGAAGTACACACTAGATTTTGAAAATTTAGCATGAAAGAACTAATGTAAACTATCTCAATAATTTTTTTTAGTGATTGTATGTTAAAATGCAATTATTTCTGATACACTGGGTTAAATAAAATTTATTACTAATTAACTTTACTGTTTCTTTTTACTTTTTAAAAATGTGGCTACTAGAAAATTTAAAATGACCTATGTGACTCACATTATATTTTCATTGGATAGTGCTGCTCTATACCGTCCCCCCCAAGTCCTTCCCTTGGGCTCTGAAGAATCCCTATTCTGAGATAGCCAAATCGCCTACACCCCCTGCCTGCTTCACAGAATACCTCCTCTATCTCCTTGACGTGATTGAAACCTGACTTTTCTCTGAGGGCCGTGCTTCCCTTTAGCCTGTTTCTGTATTTCTTCCAGGGACAATGATTGAGGCTACTCATTTTCTCAGATTTGTACTTGGGATCAGGGAAGGTGTAGAGAACAATTTTCATTGCTTACCAATGACACTTCTAGACAATTATGTCTCAACTGTCATATAAAATCTCATTTGAAGCTCATGCCATTTGTCTTGTTGCTGCCATCTACCAACCTCCTAATCATTCCCTCATGGTATTCAAAGGCCATGGGCACCTGGCCCATCTTCCTTATCTCCACTCCAGGCCCTCTGTCATTCTGGACGACTTCATTGCTCTTGTGAAACACCCATTCACCACACTGTCTTCCCATTAATGTTGAAGTATCCCAGGGTTCTAGCTTCCGCCTAGTGCTCTTCTTACTTTGTGTTTTCCTTAGACGTTCTCTCATTCTCTCAAGGTCTTGTGGCTTTTCATAGCACCTACAAGTTGGTGATTTCTGTATCTGTAGTCCAGTCTAGGCCTTTCCCTGAGATCTGTACTTGGTGTGTATTTAATTGTTTTCAGGACATTCTCTGTATGTCCTTCAGGTACTTCAAACTAAACTTTTCCCCTAAAAGCCCATCATCTCTCCCCCAACTCCCTCAAATCTTTTGTCCCTCATATATTTCATATCTCAGATGGTGGCGTTTTGTAAGTCTCCTCAAATAGAACCTTGAAAGTCATCTTACTAGGGACATTTTGAACCAGCCTAAGAAGTCATTAAACTTTCAGCATTTTTTTCCTTTTTAAAACTTAATGTGTGAGGCTGGTATACATCCCATTCTTCACCCTCGCCCTCGTGCTTATTTTCCAAACTTGAGTGGGCTTTGGTTGGGCTAGGGGTTGCAAGTAGGATTAGAGAGCATCTGGCCGAGAAACCTTACCCAACTAGGAGCCCTTTTTTTTCACACTGGTCCTCCGAGAAAGAGCTACCGATTTTAGCAGCGTCTACTCACACCTTGAGAATTTACTCATCTTCTGAAAAGTCTGCCTTCTTAAATTCTCAGATTATTTTTTAAAAGTTACAATAGTCATATCCCTTTCCTTTCAAGTAATAATTTACTTAATAAAACTTAGGTTTTTTTCTATTTGAAAATCTAGAGCAAAGGTTACAAACTAGCAGCCCTCAAGTCTTCCGTGGTTTACAGAAATGTTTCTTTAGCCCCCCCAGTGCTATCCTATACACTGCCAGGTTTTGAAAATCAAAGGATTTTACAGAAAGATCTGGACCTCAATGAAAACGAAGATCAAGTCATATTGGGGCCGTGTTCCTGCCAGTTACCAATTGGCTGGAGCTGCGCAGCCACTGTTCCCTGTAGGTTGGCATGTGTGCGCTTATTTGCCCCACGACTCTTTATTTTTCTTACACCCATTTCTTTAAAATGCCACTTAATTTATTTGCCTCACTTGTTTGGTCCTTGAAAATAATTAAGTTGGTCATCCCTAATCTAGAGCAATCAAGTTTTTTGATTATAAATGCCTATAAATAAAAATTTTTGAACCTGTACCCCAGAAATATGTATATTTATTTATTAATTATATTTATGTGTACTACTGTATTTGTAGAAATTTTTATAAGGTTGAGATAAAGGTGAAATAAAGTTTCAAAATAATATTCTCATTAAATTCTTAAATTTTAGTGAAAGCAGTATGATCGAATATGCTTCATTATTTTTGAAAATCTTGGTTTGACACTGGATTATGGCAAATCAGAGGTCTATTTCTAAATTAAGTGTATTTTTAATACTTGGTTTTTAATCAGTGTCGTTGGAGGAAATCCCTTATTGCTGTGCTTACTATGTCAGGATGCTCCTCCACCAATTTGGTAGCATTTCATTGAAATTGGATTAGAATTTTCATCTTTCATGGAGGCCATTCAGTTTTTTTAGCAAACTAATGAGAAGGTGTTACATTTTTATGTTTTAGAGTAGGTTCTAAATTCATTGAAACTTTTCATTTAGAAGATTGTTAAACAGGTTACAGAAGTTTTTCTATGTTTTTAAAAATGTACAGATTTGAAAGTTTTTATAGATTTTCATAAATAATTTTTGGCATCAAAATCACATAATGGTGGAAATACTTCTAAAAATTTGTTTTCATAATACTTTCTCCATTTTTTTTTTTGCTGAGAAAGATTTGCCCTGAGCTAACATCTGTTGCCAACCTTCCTTTTTTTGCTTAGGGAAGATGGTTGCTGAGCTAACATCTGTGCCAGTCTTCCTCTATTTTGTATGTGGGTCACCGCCACAGCATGGCTGACGAGTGGTGCAGGTCCGCGCCTGAGAACCAAAATGGCAAGTCTGGGCTGCTGAAGCGGAGCACGCTGAACTTAACCACTAGGCCATGGGGCCGGCCCCTCTCCATGGGTTTTTTTTTTTTTTGGTGAGGAAAACTAGTCCTGAGCTGACATCCAATGCCAATCTTCCTCTTTTTTCTTTCTTTCTTTTTCTTTTTTTTGCTGAGGAAGATTGGCCCTGGGCTAATATCCGTGCCCATCTTCCTCGACTTTATATGGGACGCCACCACAGCATGGCTTGACAAGTGGTGCATTGGTGTGCACCTGGGATCTGAACCTGCAAACCCCAGGCCACCAAAGCGGAGTACACGCACTTAACTGCTACACCACCGGGCGGTCCCCAATCACCTGTCTTTTTGTAAAAGACAAAAGTATAATTCATCTTGGGAAGTTCACTATCTCTTAAGTACCTTGCCACAAGATAACCAGCAAACCACTATGTGCTATAAAAATTTTATGGTCATTATTTCACTACATACATTCTACTACTTAAGATAATAAAATACACAAATCATTTTTATTCAGCACCTCACCTGTTCATTCGTCAGCAGTATATTGCAACATATCACAGTTAACATGTGCCCTTTTTTATAGCATTTGCCCATTTCTGTGGTGTAAATATTCTTACTGTGGCTGATTTCAGGTTATCGATGAGTCACTGAACGTGGAGTTCTGAAGAGATGGGCAGTTGGACACCATTATATAAAGTATTTTCACCATACAGATATGATAGACATGAATAATCTGAAGATAACAATAAAATGCAATAAGTAATAGTAAAATGTAACAAATTAATTAAGAAGCGATGAGCTTTAGGTATTTATTGGTTTTTAATATAACTTAAGTTTATGTAATTATATGTATATATTTTTTAATTTTTTTGTGTGTG